AACATATTTGTGTTCCAATAAACTTTACGTTATATGACAGTTCAAATATTAACATATATCAGTGTTAAGATCAACATATTTGTGTTCCAATAAACTTTACGTTATATGACAGTTCAAATATTAATTAACATCAATGTTAAGATGATCAATATGAGAGCTCTCCGGTCAGTGTGATGCAGATAGACTATCATCACTAATGATGATGAAGTACTTCGTGAATCGGATGAGACTTGGTTGTAATGATTTATTTGTTAAATGAAAACATATTTCCTGTGAGCAGCAACGGAATTAGTTGCAACACATGTATCTCTTCCTAGTCATTACGCATGCGTTAACTTATGTGGGGATAGCCAATCTTTATTGTCCTATATATATCACGCATGTCTTATCTTATATGGTGACAACTAGTCTCTTAAGTAAATTTAAGTAAATCCTTGTTTTCATTATTAGTTTAAGTAACTCCTTGTTTCCATTATTGTGTTGAATATAGCCTTGTTTCAATTTTTGTGTTAAATACAATCTTGTTTCCGTTATTGTGTTATATAAATATTTGTTTCCATTCTTCTGTTAAGTAAATCCTTGTTGCTATTCTTGAGTTAAGTAAACATATGTTTCATTTTGTATTAAATAAATCCTTGTTTCCGTTATTGTGTTAAGTACAGCCTTGTTTCCCTTGTATTATATTTGTAACAGATATCAATCGTTTAATTTAAGGATGGTTCAATAGAATTTGAAGAATTCATCAGAGCGCTGTCAGTGACATCTCGTGGTAATCTGGAAGAGAAGTTGGTCTGTAAGTGCTTTTTCTTTCACTCGTTTCTGTTCTTAGATTATGTTGAATGTAATTAGTAGAACGCATGAAAACTAAGCAAGACCAATCTCAACAATCACAGACCTAGAGAGAAAGTAAATACAAAAACTAACACCTAGAATAACAAAGTCTTGACCAATTCCATGGGGTTCTGACCCACTTCCTCTAAGTCCCGAACATGCTAAAACACTTATAAAACATAGAGGAGACAAAAATTAATTACTAAACCTAATTTTCTAATGGCGTTATTTAGTTTTCACAGTTCGCACTGTACTTTATCAGCCATTACCAAATGTTTATGTTTGTTTCTATCTGTGCTGTGCCCACCACGGGTATCAAAACTCACTTCCTAGCGTTATAAGTCCGCAGGCTTACCGCTGTGACATTGGTTGGAGAGGGTCAAATGCTTGTGTATTCAAAACGAAAGTATGAAAATGAAGGGCAGGATTAAAGTCACCGTTTAACTTCTATTATGAATCTGCTCCTCAACTCAAAAAACTTTATTTCTTAATTTCCAATACACACGAAATAAAAGTAAAACGAAATTCTAGCGTTTAACCTAATAGTTCACAGGTCTGCGTGTCACTTGTAAGGTAGCTAGCTATAAACTTGACCATGCAGTAGAATACAACCAAGCCAGTTGGTTACTTGTAAGGTAACCATAAACTAGACCATGCAGCAGAAGACAACCAGGTCAGTTGGTTACCTGTAAGGTAGCTATAAACTAGACCATGCAGTAGAAGACAACCAAGCCAGTTGGTTACTTGTAAGGTAGCTATAAACTAGACCATGTAGTAGAAGACAACCACGCCAGTTGGTTACTTGTGAGGTAGCTATAAACTAGACCATGCAGTAGAAGACAACCACGCCAGTTGGTTACTTGTAAGGTAGCTATAAACTAGACCATGCAGTAGAAGACAACCACGCCAGTTGGTTACTTGTAAGGTAGCTATAAACTAGACCATGCAGTAG